GAGCTTGTGCTCGGTTGAATTGATCCATGGAGGACCTCACTCGCCGATCTAAACGTGCGACCGATGGAGACTAGGCTAACAGAGAATCATCTCAGCTGGATAAGGTCTGGAACTTCAACCGAGCAAACTTTCCTCGGCACAGCCTAGCCCAGCTCGGCCCAAACACTCTCGGACCTCCTTAAACTTGGCCAAAACCGCGGCCCATGGCAGGATTATGAAATCTCCCTCTCAATTGCCCCTTAATTCTGTCTGCGCAAGCGTGACTGGGATTATATGCTCCGACCGTGGTCGTCCTCCTGCCCGGCCGCATGCCACAAAACAATAACCGCGTTGAGCCCCATGCCCGGTCTTTGACTTGCTCGGTTAGCGCCTCAACTTACCAACCCGTCTTTTCAATACTGACGCTGTATTCATGACGGACACGCGTTACTTACTCACTAGCCTCGAACGGCCACCCCATGCCGTCTTTTCACACTGGAATTTTGGCGCTCCTTTTTCCTTCTTATAGTCGTTACTTGCCCCTTACTCATTTCTTCTTCGCTATTCATCTCATTCTGTAAAAACCAACCTGCGATCGAGAGCTCTCGCCCTTACTCATTCTATTGAGATCAGAGTGCCTACGCAAGTACGTTCCACACTGCCGTCGCCGCTGAGGGCCTCCGTTCCACTGCTTCGAGTTACCGTCAATGCCCTAACTAGTAAGTTCTCAAACTTCCATTTTTTCTTCATTTGTTACTCATGTCCTCTAGGTCTGCGATTGTCATAGTCGTGTTTAGGGCACGATAGCGAGTAGATTTTAGGACGTAATCCCCAAGATCTATCCTTGTCCCTTCTTCCCCGACTGTTCTTCATTTTCTGTGATGAACACGCGAGGATCTAGGGCAAACCGCGCTCCCCGACCTCATTTGATCCCCAAAAATACAAGAACCGAGCAAGTTTGCAGTCTGTTGGGTAGGAATTTGTCTGACAGAATGCTAGGTCGCTCGACCGGGCTAATATCTGGTCCGCTTGGGCGACCGAGCTTCTGGGTACACAATAGTGACCGAGGTGCTGCTACACTTCCTGCGACCGGGTTAAAGTGGAGCTCATTTGTGCAACTGCGCTGCTACTCACACTTTACTTTTACTGCAGAGTCCTAGGGGGCCAGACACCAGCACTAGGGCTCTCAATGGTCGAGCAGCCAACGCACTAAACTTTGCCAAACCAAAATCGCCGTGCTGAAACAGGCCGGCTTCACATGGGGCGTTACCGCTTCCTCGTTGACACGCCGGTCACACTAGCCGCGCTCCGGGAAGAATATGGCGTCCTTGCAGACGTACATCTCGAGCTCGATGCAGAGGACACCACCTCATGAGGCAGACTAGACCAATGCCCCTTCACCGTGCTTTCCGTAATTGAAGGCGGCCTACGTTTCCCGGTTCAACCCTTAATGTGTGAGTTCCTGAGGCGCACCAGGCAAGCGCTAACACAAGTTTCAACCAACACCTTCAGAATAATAAATGGGGTAACCGAACTGAACAACCGGCTTGGCCTGAACCTAGGATTAGCCGAGATTTTACGCCAGTACACCCTCGGGCATACAGGCGACGGGCTTAACTACTACCTAAAGATACCGGGCAAGGAAAAGCTTAAAACCGGCACCCCAGATAAAGATATGCACGACAACGATTTTTTCTGAGTATCAGGGAATTACAAAACAGTTGATGTGCCCAGCTGGTACATCAGCAAGAACTTCGGTTCGACATGTAAGCCGTGCTCACAGCTCGATCAAACTACCTTGCTTTACTATTCTATACTAATGTCTTTTTTCCTTTGCAGCTATCGAAGCCTTGCAAGCGAACTACAACCTAAACGAGGCTGCCATCAGAACTGCCCTGCGGTATCGTAACCGAGATTGCCACAACCTTCTCAGCTACGTATCGAGCTATAGATACACAGCTCCCCGTCGGAGTAGAGTTACAGACTTTCTCCGAGCACTGTCTCCACCACCCGATCCGACACTACCAGTCGTGCCACTAATCTGGTTAACCGAAGAAGAAGAGATGGCCAAACGGAGATGTATCAAAAATCTGATCACCGCCACGTCCACCGAGGTGCCAAGCATACCTCACCGTGCCACTGTTGCCGGTCAAACATCTGGGACGGTGATTGCTTTGGTGTCGACTGCTGTGACGCAGACCAGCAAAGACAGTCGCAGAGCCGAGAAAAGGCCTCGGCCCACCGACCCAACAGCTGAGCTGTCACGACCCAAACCCGCCCCTATGGGTTTAGCACCGTAACCGGCCAATAATCTGTGATTACCGATGGCCTGCTTGACAGTAAAGACAGTAATACAGAGTACAGGGGCTGGCGGAAGCCAAAATAGTATAAAAGATGTCCAATGAGCTGTGAAAATCTGAATGCCAAAAGATTTTTCTGCACATATTCATATTCAAAACCATAACAGTATATACATACATCATATACAGGCATTCAGGTTAGGGACCAAATCCCTACCATGACAGTACAGTACAAGTCTCATACAGTCTATACAAAACAGAAACAGAAAGGGAGAATCTAAAACACCCCAAAACAACCTTAGCTTGAGCACACTTGGAACCTCGAGGTGAGGCACAATGGTTGGCTTGACAAAAAGGGAGTAAACCCGACACTCCTAGCATCGATCTGGTGCCTGAACACCTACATATAAATATAAACAGTAAGCTAAAGCCCAGTGAATAACAATTGTGTAAAGAGGTTAAGAATGAATGTCATTTTAGTCATTAAACAGTCATATCAGTCATTTAGAAACCATAGCAGGCATATGTGGTACATCCAATAGCAAGACAGTGCAGTAGGTCTTAATAGACCGAACAGTCAGTTGATAGCCATCATAACAGTAAACAGTAATGGTTCCAAAAATGGGAATCGACAGAAATCTTTGTAACAATAGCAGTAACAGTACAATAATAGTAGATTGCTATGGATGCCACGAATTCAGTTCATAAGTAGGACAAACATTCATTTAGTAAGAAATATCATTTCAGAAAGTAGTACAGTTGATCATTCAAAAAATATTCATGATTGAACATATCTGTACAACATTGTTACTCACAGAGTACTGGGCTACAGAGACGCTAGTGAGCGTCCTCGGATACCAACTCTACACAGTTACAGAATGAACACACACTAAGTTACACACTTGGGAATCAATGACTTAGTCCCTATCTTGTCTTGGTGTGGTTCTACATCAATATCCTCATTAAGATGCCTTAAACATGGCCGAGGAATGCCTAGGATGGAAAGAGGATGCAAAGATGCATTTTAAAACACTTTTCAAAATTTTCAGAAAACAGGGGTCTCGCTCGAGCGTGGCTTTCTACGCTCAAGCGGACATGCAGACAAAGGATCTCCGCTCGAGCGGACATGCATTCTTTCGCTCGAGCAGACTATAAACTCAAGCAAAAGTACTGGATGCATAAAAATCACGCTCGATGGGCGCTCGATCCACGCTCGAGCGTGAGACTCAGGTCCTCGCTTGAGCATGAACTCTCTCGCTCGAGGGGACTGTAAACATATGAAAAGTACTGGATACACGCGTTTCACGCTCGAGCGTTACTTTCCTCGCTCGATCGGGATGCATGTACTCAGAGTGTACGCTCGAGCGTGGAGTCTTACACTCGAGCGTGGGTCCAAAATCTGGAATTTTCAGGATGAACCTCCAAGCTCAAATTCAACATTTAAAGCATCAAATTTGATTCTTTTGAGCCAATTTTCTGGAAAACACTTTAAAACTCATAATATGACATATTTCAAAGATCAATTTGCAAAATCAAAGCCCAAAGGTAGTTCAATTAAACACAAATCCAACAAAACTTCATGAACATAATGTATATGTAACATGCAAGTAATCAATTGAAATCAAAGCTTCAAATACTTGATCAAATGAGTCAATTCACTCAAAAACATGATGAATTCATGAACTATAACCCAAATATGGACATGCATGTGTGGATTCTATGAAAACAACCTTAAAATCCAAGAATGTAAACATGCATGCATGGATTACTGCTCAATTCAACATTTTGAACCAATTCTTGAATTAGATCACTAATGACTCATGAACCATGCAAGAACCAACTAGAATTCATAAACTAAAAGATAAATATCCTACCTTAGGTCCTCAATTCCAAGTCTAGAATTTCAATTATGCAATCTACTCTTCAATTCTTCTAATTCTCAAGCAAATTTTGATGAACTCAAGCTTGCTTCCAACTCTCTAGCTCTCTCTCACGTTTTTGGTCTCTAGAGGAAATGAATGGCATATCAACCATGAGGGAAGTAGAAAAAGAATGGTCTAGGATTGTCCAGTAAGTGGCAATTTGGTAATAAAGCCAAACTAATGTAATTTAACCTTATTTAATCTTATTTAATTGTTCCAAATCAAATTTAAATTAAACCTACCATAAAATCACATAAATTCTAATTAGCATGAAATACCAGTCAATTTCTGATTCGGCCGCCAATAAGGCCTTCAATTTACAGTTCGAAACTTAAAACATGAACAGATAAATCAATGGCAAATAGATAGGAACGCACTAAAACAACATACACACACAATCAGTTCAGAATTTCAGTCTAACCAGTTACTTATCATGTTCAGTCACAGTTTAGCAGTAATCAGTGGCGAGGGTTGTCACACGAGCTCATTGCAGAGCTGAGCACCGAGCAACTTGTAGATACATTTGAGCCAACGCTACCATGGCAGCCGCTGTTGAAGCACCGAGGTAAGGAGATCCCGACCAACGCCTCAGTCAAAGGCAACAAAGAATATCTCCTGGCTTTTGACCTAACAAAAGCCCTACTCTTGTCGAGTGACGTGACCGGCAGCGACCATGTGCCCGACACCTGGCTCATTAAATCATCGGTTAAGTCTATGACCCGGGTAAGAACTATGCCTGTTTATTCAAATTGGTCCAAGTGTTTTCACGGTTATTCTTATCCTAACTCTCATCTTGCAGGCCATCCAGAAACAACACCTTGTGATGGACCGCAAAAGGTGACCGACGCCGCCAGCCAGGTCAAATACCTTGAAACCGAGCTGGGACGGTCAAAGGCTTCTTTGGAGATTGCAAACGCTGACAATTGAAAATTCCTTGGCCAACTTGGATTCGCCGAGAAGGAAAGAGACGCTCTCCGGGATGAGCTAGAAGTGTTAAAGCAATCGAGGAAAGCTGAAGTGGACGAGGCAAACAATCTCGGTTTCAAAGAGGTCGAAGACAACTACACCAAGCAGGTCGAGGCCACCAAGGACATATTCTTTAAGTCTGGTTAGAAGGCTACTTGCGAGCAGCTCGGCCAGGGTCCTGAAACCGAGGTATTTACCTCTCCCCCCGCTACCTTTCTCCCGGCTTACATGGTGCCATGTGCGAACGATGTCTTTAATGCTCTACAAGAGGAGGCCAAGGAAGAGGTAGAATATGACGCCAAGGAGAATGCGAAGGAAGCGGGCCGCCCAAAGAAGGCCGACCAGGTTGATTCCGGCGCCCGAGAAACCACCACCACGGTTGACTTTGAGGTAGTTGCGGAGGGCACCGGGGATGACTTTTCCCCCTGGTTTAGTTCTCTCTTCTTTTTTTTTGAAAATGTAACTGGGCTGCTTGCCCCACCTTATGTACATTTCTTCATCAATGAAAAGGTCTCGTTTTTCTTGTACTCTTGCAATGTTTTGCTGTTGTTAATTCTGCAAGCCTACTATTTCTTCTCGGCATGAAAAACATCTCGGCCAAAATCCTGACCTCATTACTTGACAAAAATTGCTGAAGTTGAACCCACCAACCGATTAGCCGAGATAAAACATCTCGGCAAAATGTAATAAAATAAATTCACTCGATTTTTTGAGATAAAACATCTTGGCAAAAATGTTGGAGTTGAACTAAACATTAACCCGATTGACCGAGCTAAAACATCTCGGCGAAAATGTTGGAGTTAAGCAAATCATCAACTTAATTAGCCGAGACAAAACATCTCGGAGTTGAGCAAGTCATCAACCCATTTAGCCAAGATAAAACATCTCGGAGTTGAACAAGTCATCAACCCATTTAGCCGAGATAAAACATCTTGGCTGAAAATTCAAAGAACTAATCACTAGTCTTTTAACCAGGGTAATTCATCTCGGTTAAAAATTCAGAGTTGAACAAATCACCAACTCTTATAGCCGTGGTAATTCATCTCGGCTGAATATTCAAAATTGAACAAATCATCAACTCTTTTAGCCGGGGTAATTCATCTCGGCTAAAAATTCAGAGTTGAACAAATTATCAACTCTTTTAGTCGGGGTAATCACCTCGGCTAAAACGTGAAGCAAAAATGTCAAAAATGAACTTTCACAGCAAAAATAATTCACTTTTATTACATTTTCGAATAGAGTATTACATTCAGAAGTAAAGGGGAACAAGTCCTTTCACAAAAAATTACATATGAAAGACAAAAACTAAAAATAGTACATTTTGAGGTTGGCTGCATTCTATGACCGAGGTATGCTTTTGCCATCCAGGTCGTCTAAGTGGTATGCCCCCTTGCCCGCCAGACTGAGTATCCTGTACGGCCCTTTCCAATTTGCCCCTAGTTTGCCTTCGCCCGGCACCAGAGTGTTGCCCATCACTTTCCTTAAAACCCAGTCCCCGACTTTAAATGGTCTGGGGTGCACCGTCTTGTTATATTTCCTGGACAACTCTTGTTGATATGCAGCCACGTATCTCATTGACGAATCGGTTGGATGCTGTGGCCTCGAGGCTTCTTGCCCTTGAGACCTCGACAGCAGATCGGTTCAAAGACGTGCTGTCAGATGTCCTAGCCATTTCTGATTCTTGGAAAGACAAGTTTCAAGAAATTGTGGATGAACAGTCCCTTCTGAAGAAGGCCATCTGTGGGCATACGAATTCTGAAAAGGCTCATTCGAAAATCAAAGGGTCAATTTCTGTTTCAAAATTCTAGCCTGTAATGGCACTAAGTTGGACACTTAGTCTCAGCCAAATATATGAATACACACACACAAAAGTGCTATAACAAATAAGAGAATAGGCAACAAGTGATTACAGGAAAAACTCCCAACCTTTATTAATTGTACCAGCAATACAAAGGATGCCTATGGAAACTCTTATCAACACTTAGTTCATTTTCGAGTTCCATGGCTTATGCCTAAATAGGCTTACAATCAGTTTCAACTTACAACCAGCATTACAAGGAAAGCATGCCAAGTGGCATGGCAGTTGACACCCCCAACTGCCTAGGGACTTAGGAACATTTCTGGAGCATAACTGCTCTTAACTACTGCTATGTTTCAGCCTTGGTTCCATATGTCCAGACTTGCCTTGGCTTTGCCCATCATGGATAACTGCTGCCAACTAACATGCATAACTGTTAGAAACTGCCATGTTGTTTGGCTCATCAAGTCAGCCACAAATTTGGTTGTCTTGGCCCCCAGACCAAGTTTTGCCTACTGATTGCTTTGAACCCCCAAACATGCTGCAGCCCACATTCGGGTCATGTTAATGCCTTGCATCTGTGCAACGGCTGCACATACTTTGGCCAAGGGTTGTGCTGCTGCCTCAGCACTTTGGACAACGCTTCACCTTGCTATCTTGGCATGCCACCATCATGCCTTGGTCTTGGTTGGTCATGGGCACAAGGTGCTGCCAATGCCAACCATGCTGCCTTGAAGTAGAAGGTGCTAACAAACCACCCCCACCAGAAGAAGCCGACGTCCTCGTCGGTAAAGCCTCTAAGTAGTCCGTAATTTGCTTCTCAAACTGCCATAGAGTCACATTATTTTCCCAACTTGCATCCGCTTCAAGAGAACCCTTCCACTTAACCAAGTAAGTTTTCTACAGCAAATCATCCTCAGACGGATGGACAGACCGAGAGAATGAATGCGTTGCTAGAAGAATACCTCCGACATTATGTGACTGCAAGTCAGAGGAATTGGATTGACCTGTTGGATAGCGCACAATTTTGTTATAATCTGCATCGGTCATCTGCCATAGGAATGAGTCCATTTGAATTAGCCACGGGGCAGCAACCCCTCACTCCGCATGAAATGGCAAGGACTAGCTCAGGAGGTAGATGTCCCGCAGCATACCGGTTTGCAAGAGCTAAACAAGACATGCTAGATGAAACACAAGACAGTTTGGCTAAGGCAAGCAAGCGGATGAAAAAGTATGCTGACAAAGGGCGAAGACCCTTGGAATTCAAAGTGGGAGACAAGGTGCTGCTGAAGCTTACTCCACAGATTTGGAAAAAGATAAGTAGCAAGACAGTGCACCGCAGCTTAGTTCCAAAATATGATGGACCCTTTGAAATTCTAAAACGTGTGGGAAATGTTGCTTATAGGCTGAAATTGCCTGACCGGTTGAAGATACACCCAACAATCCATGTTTAGCTACCTGAAACCTTATAACGAGGATCAGGCTAACCTAACACGGACGCAAGCTCGACGCGCCCCTCTGGTGATCAGGAAATAGTTTGACAAAGAGGTGGAACAGATTTTGGATCACAAGACAGAGGGGCAAAGCAAGAAAAATCGAAGAATTCATTACTTGGTTAAGTGAAAGGGTTCTCCTGAAGCGGATGCAAGTTAGGAAAAGGATGTGACTCTATGGCAGTTTGAGAAGCAAATTACGGACTACTTAGAGGCTTTACCGACGAGGACATCAGCTTCTTCTGGTGGGGGTGGTTTGTTAGCACCTTCTACTTCAAGGCTGCATGGTTGGCATTGGCAGCACCTTGTGCCCATGACCAACCAAGACCAAGGCATGATGGTGGCATGCCAAGACAGCAAGGTGAAGTGTTGTCCAAAGTGCTGAGGCAGCAACACAACCCTTGGCCAAAGTATGTGCAGCCGTTGCACAGATGCAAGGCATTAACATGACCCGAATGTGGGCTACAGCATACTTGGAGGTTCAAAGCAATCAGTAGGCAAAACTTGGTCTGGGGGCCAAGACAAACAAATTCGTGGCTGACTTGATGAGGAAAACAACATGGCAGTTTCTAGCAGTTATGCATGTCAGTTGGCAGCAGTTATCCATGATGGGCAAAGACAAGGCAAGTCTGGACATCTGGAACCAAGGCTGAAACATAGCAGCAGTTAAGAGCAGTTATGCTCCAGAAATGTTCCTAAGTCCCTAGGCAGTTGGGGGTGTCAACTGCCATGCCACTTTGGCATGCTTTCCTTGTAATGCTGGTTGTAAGTTGAAACTGATTGTAAGCCTATTTAGGCATAAGCCATGGAACTCGAAAATGAACTAAATGTTGATAAGAGTTTCCATAGGCATCCTTTGTATTGTTGGTACAATTAATAAAGGTTGGGAGTTTTTCCTGTAATCACTTGTTGCCTATTCTCTTATTTGTTATAGCACTTTTGTGTGTGTGTATTCATATATTTGGCTGAGACTAAGTGTCCAACTTAGTGCCATTACAGGCTAGAATTTTGAAACAGAAATTGACCCTGTAACAATTGGTATCAAAGCACAGTTTTGCTCTAATGGTTTCTGCCATGGATGCCTTAAAAGACAGGGTAACTCGGTTGGAAAATCTTGTTGGTGACCCTGCTGATGAGAATATCTCACTAACGGATTAGTTGGATGCTGTGGCCTCGAGGCTTCTTGCCCTTGAGACCTCGATAGCAGATCGGTTCAAAGACGTGGTGTCAGATGTCCTAGCCATTTCGGATTCTTGGAAAGACAAGTTTCAAGAAATTGTGGATGAACAGTCTCTTCTGAAGAAGGCCATCTGTGGGCATACGAATTTTGAAAAGGCTCCTTCGAAAATCAAAGTTCCAGACCCTAAAGCTTTTGGTGGAAATCGGAGCGCGAAGGAACTTGAGAATTTTCTGTGGGATATGAAGCAGTACTTCAAAGCTGCTCATGTGCCAGAAGGAGAGAAGGTTACAATCACAAGCATGTACCTTACCGGTGATGCAAAACTTTGGTGGCGTACTCGTGTCGGGGATGATGCTCGGGCAGAGATCTCAACTTGGGATACTCTTAAGAAGGAAATGAAGGAACAATTCCTTCCGTGCAACACATCTTGGGTTGCAAGGGATGCCTTGAAACGGTTGAAGCATGCTGGATCGGTGAGGGACTATGTGAA